GAGGAGAAGCAGACGGATCTGGGATGCCATCGTCGGTGTGGAGCTCCATCGCTGGTCACGCTTGTCGCCGTCATCGTCGGACTACAGCTGGCTCCAGCGAGGGAGGCCGGACCCGCGGCTCCCAGCGAGGGAGACCGGACCCGCGGCTCCCGGCGACGGCGTATACACCGGAGAGGCGCGCCCAGCGGCGCGGTGAGAGGCAAAGTCGACGGCGGCGGGAGAAGAGAGAGAGAGAGAGGGGTAGAAGACGAGGGAATTTTGGTCCAATACATGCAAAATACGTATATCAGTGGCACCACTGAGATTACAAATATATAGTAGTGGTATCGTTACAAATATGTAAATAGTAATGGCATATTTCAAAACCGGTATTTTTTAATGGCATAGATCTAATTAACCCACAGTTAAAAGAGTGGAACCGAGCAGGTACTACTAACTGCTTGCTAAAAAAATACTTCCTCCGTCCCACAATATAAGATATTATTTTGGAACAGAAGGGGTAATAAATTTTTCTAGCGCTTAAGCTGTCATAATGGCTTATCATACTCAGCTTTTTCAGCTTTTTTTTTTTTGAAACTCAAGACTTTATTCAACTTTTAAAAGCAAAGGACATAGTTTATCGTACAGTTCACCGGACTTAAATGAGCTTGCAAACTGGAAGCATAACAAAGCCTTGAAGGGTAAGCTAGATGAGCTATATTCTGACAATTATAAATTGGATTAACCATATTATGAGATTTGGCTTCTTTAGCTAGCTTATCAGCTATTCTATTTATCTCTCTAGGCACCCAGATCACTTGCATGAGATGATTAGGTATTCTTGACTGTAGTTGACTCCATAACGGTCTAAGGCTCCAGTGACCAGCTGGTTCTGCCTCAAAGTTTCATTTCTTCACCGTATCTGCAATTGTCACATTATCCGTGAGGAAGGTAGTACCTGCAAAATTCAAAAGGAGAGCAATTTCCATAGCCAACTGAAGACCCAGCAGCTCTGCCTGCAAAGGAGATTGAGCCAAATTGCTTGTAGCCTTAATAAAAAGAGCATTGTGGTGCTCAAGAGGAAGCCATAGAACATATTACCCAGTGCCTAACATGTAATATTCATAATATGTTGATTATATATTTGCATAGCCGTCGCATAACCATTAATAGATACAAGTGTACCATACTTGACTTTTTTAGCCGTGCTCAAGAGGGAGCCAGGGAACATGTTGCCTAGAGCCTAACATGTAATATTAATTATTTGTTGATTATAAATTTGCATAGTCGCATGAGCATTAGTGGATACAAGTGTGCTTGAGGTTAGTTTTATCAAACCATCCCTAAAAACATTCATGTATGCTTGGGCATAATTAAAAGTGGTTTTTGCGTCCAAATAAGGGCATATGATCTAAGCTCCACTGATCTTTGTTGCACAAAAATTTATTACACACGTTAAAGTCTTTAAGATGTGGCATTGCATGGACGAAAACCATGCGACATCCAAATTTATAAGCTAGTTAGTAGGAAAACAAAAGTATGGGGCCTTTATATGGAGGTTTAAAGATCAAAATAATTTCACATACATTATATTTTTATAATAGCTACTTCCCGTTTCATATTATAAGACTTTCACAACGTATGGGACCTATATGAATATATTGTTGGCACTAGATTGTGTAAAAAAGACTGGCTTATAAAAAAAACAGATGAGTTTTTTTTTTCCCACGCTGGCCTTGAATAAAAACGACAAGGTCCGAAATGGTACATGGAGTGAAACTGCATGAATCCAGATAAGTTATGGTAGCGTCAAACTGCTAAAACGGGAGAGATTGAAAAAAAAAGAGGATCATATTGTGATGAAGTATAAGCCGTGAGGTCTGAGAAGTAAGAGAAGAGGGTCATACTTGCAAAAGAAAAAGATCAGATGGACGTAATTGAGAGGTATGAACGCTTGCAGACTTGCAGGATTGCGGAAGGACCTGAGCGTATGAAAGAAAAATATACGAGGGGGCAGAAAAGAACGTTCAGGGGCCGAAATGAAAGAACCGAGGGCATAAATGTGATGAAAACTATAGGCTCCAAGGACCTGGGCAGAAATCACAAAAAAATTTGGACCATTTCTCGATTTGTACGTGTCATCCTTGCGCAGGGGCCATGCTAATCTTATCTGTATCGTTCCAATTTTATCGGATGTTTTCGAAGAGACGGCAGCCAAGCCAGCACCCGCGCATATAAGGCAGTCCAGTTTAGCTAAGCGAGGTGGTACTAAACGTTGCTCTCTATTGCATCCTACCCCGGTGCCAACGAATCGAAGCGCTGAGAGCCCAGGCCTACCTCGCACGTAAGCACCTGGGCCTTTCCCTCCTATCCGGCCAATTTTTTCCCCTATTCCGTCCAGGCCCATAGATGCGACTGCAGGACGACGATTTCGCCTGACGAATCAACCATCGTCTTCCTAGTTCCTACTACCGTCTCGTGTATGGCATCTCGATAGCCTGTATAGTTGACCGGCTAGTTCAGACTTCAGGGCTCATTCGGATTGCAGGCTTTTTACGGGAATTTTATAGGAATACTGTTCACTTGGATATTTTTCCTATCCTATCATTCGGATGGTAAAAAATGGTTGTGGGAAAACTACAGGAAAAAAAATCCTTTGCTGCCGATTCCACAGGTAAAACGGAGGAAAATTCCATCCACTCCAAGCTCTTGTTCTCTCTCTTTCCTGTAAACCGAATGCTCTTAGTTGGATGTATTGGATGCGAGCAATCAGTAGGTATTGCTTGGTAGTTGTGGCCTTGTGCCACTGCCTCCCTAGTCCCTATGATGCCTTGCTGCCTTTGAAGAGTTGGTGCGTGCGTGGTGGTTCTTCATGGCTCGTTAAGTGGTTTCAGACTTTCAGTTTTAGTTAGTAAGAGATTAGTGACCATTAAGTAGGGGCAAATTCCTTCATGTGTAGGTCACCATTTATTGATGGCAGAGAGTTGACTACTCCCTCCGTCCTAAAATAAGCGCAGTCATAAATTTCTAAAATAAATACAGTTATAAATTTTCGTGTCTAATTTGATCGTTCGTCTTATTTGAAATTTGTTTATGATTAACATTTTTATTATTATTAGATTGTACTAAATCATAAATAATACTCCATGTGTGACTTATATTTTTCAATTTTTTCAAAAAAATATCAAATAAGACGTGCGATTAAAGTTAAGCACGAAAACTCATGGTTATGCTTATTTTGATGGTTGTGCGTATTTTGGGACGGGGGAGTAATTAACTCCTAGTACTTCCTCCGGTTTCATTTTAATTGACGTTTTGAACAATGACACGCTCTACAAGATATATCTTTGACCTTATTTTTTCTATTATAATATATACAATAAATAAATGCATGTTTACTTTTTATTATAGTGTTTTGAAAGACAAATCTATATATATTTTCTAGTTTCTTTAAACTAAATATTTTTAAAGTTATTAATGATTAAAGTTATAAAAATTTAATCTCAACCTTATCCAAAACGTCAATTAATATAGAACCAGAGGGAGTACTCCCAGGTAAACGCAAGTAGTAGATGGAATAGTTGGGAGGCTAAAATTAGACAAGTGTGTGATGAAAAGTCAAGGCTTCCACCAATCTAAACTTCAGGGTTAATAACTGAAAAAGAGTTGTTGGTACGTGGTAGATAGCAGCTCTCTACAACTAATCTCAACCCGGCTTATACTGTAGGTGTTCTTAAGAAAATAACTTATACTGTAGGGTCTCAAAGAGTTAATTAATTATATGCAAGAACAAATTATTAGCGAGTAAAAAATAATTTATATGTATCAGGTAAACCAATATAAAAATATATTACGTTAAAAATATCCTTAAATTACTCTTGTTAATTTTTAAATTTTAATAGCGGCTGATTTTCTTGGGACAAAATACAAGGCCACCGGAGTACTATGAAACTGTCAAAGTACTAGGTGGAGTGTTGGATCTTTGGCACTTCGAGACTTTTTCTTTTCTTTTTTCCTCTTTAGCAATTGGCATTTGACAGTTGGTAGGGCGTCTCACCCTGCAGCTACTACTCGAGTTCGCATCCTTATATCTTTTTCTCTCTCTCCTAGTCTCCTTTCGTCTCTCTTTTTGTTTTTAATCCCTTTCTTTAAATCCCTTTTTTTGCAAACGAGTTATGGTTGATTAAAATAGACGAAATGACCCACATCTTTAGGAGATGGAGTGATGTAGTACTGGAGCATGTGCCACTTATCTGACTATCACATGGCCCTGAAAACTGCTTTGCTTCTCTTACACTGAACACACTAATACTTGCATATGTACGCTAAATATCACTGAGATTTGTTATGCTAATCGATGTGTTTTTTTATAATTTGTCGGTTGTTGCTTAATCTCAGGTCAGTTGGGCCAAGCACACGAGACAGCATCTGATCTCGTTGATTTCTCTTGCGCCAGATTAAGCGAACAATGCCACGTGGGTCAGCACACAAGCTGTGAGGCTGACACGTCGTTTTGGCAGAGACTGCAGATTTTCTGAAGAAAGATAGACGAAATCTTAATTACGTATACGGTCCTGTAAAAATACTACTCCATCCACGTGTCATGATCAGCAACAGTAAAATCGCATTGTGTGCTGTAATTCTACTGCACTAACCATCTTCGTTTTTAAATAAAATTAATTCGTGTCTACGTTCAAATTCGTACATAGAAATTAATTTATTTTGGATGGAGGGGAGTAGTAATTTGTTTTGACACAAGCATCGAGCTTTACACGCAAAACTAATTTAACAGCAAGCACTTTGAATAAAAATGTACCACATGTATATTTTTATATTACAAAAATTGGCAAGACGTCACCAGGTTTGGAAAATGGATGAATTTAATTTAATTTATTAGTTAGTGAGTCCCGAGGTCACCACTTCTGTAAAAATAATTTTTCACCTAGGGTCAAATGTGTGAAAAGATGAAGCAGTAGTAGGTCTATTTACTAAACTAACCCTCAGCGGCATGACTTTCCGCGTAGTTTCTCTTCTTCTTGCAGAGAGAGATTATCCTCTTTCCCCTTCCACCGCCACTGCGCCGCAATTCGCCTTCGCTGCGGGCATCTGCAGCAGCAGAATCATGGGCTGAAATCGAACCACTGCGCGACAAGGTTCCGAAGAATCTCTTCACCTCTTCTCATCTCTCCATGAATCGTCGTCGGCTCTTTGCGTGAGTGGCAGTAGGTGTGTATGCGTGACGGAGTAGATCTTGGGTTCTTGCGTGCTCGGTTTCTTCGTGGTGATACGGTGCTGCTAGTGTTCAGAGTAGGTAGTCTTGATGCGATAGGCTTGGGGGTTTCTGTGCTGGATCGAGCGGTAGAGCCGCCCGTTTCGGTGAAACCTGGTCTCACGCGGTTTGCTTTGATTGGGTTGTGTGATTCTTGGTCTAGGTTTCAGGTTTCTTGCTCATGAATGGAGGCATATCTGCTTTACTTGCAGTTGCAGATGCTCCTGTAGAAAGTCCCCAAGAAATATCCTGCCTTTCTTGCAGGTTCAGTACTGGTTCGATCACTATGAAAAAAAAAATCCTGCCTTTCTTGCTTGGACAGTATTGGTTGCACTAGGATCTGGCTTAACTTTCGTTGTTAGATCTTGTTCGGTTTGTGTGTTGTCGGTGGATATATTAAGTGTAGATATATGCTAATGGGTAGAGTTGTTTCAGGGTGCCAAGGATAACTTTATTGTGCTGCTGAAGGAAGACATCTTATTGACCTGCTAGTTCTGTAGATGATTTTTGGAGTGCTATAAATATCGAGGCGCGAGTTCGGACTGCAAGATACAACACAAGAGTGAGAAAAGAAAGGCTTTAGCTGAGTTACAGGATGGAACAAGGTCAGGGAGATAGATACTGGTGCCACCACTGCGAGGAAGTGATCGAACCTGTGGAGCCTGATATGAAGTGTCCTAGCTGTGACAGCGGGTTCGTGGAAGAGATGGGGTCTGCAGGCTTTGAGCCATCGACCAACTTGAGGTCTGATCGTATCTCCCTCTGGGCACCACTGCTGCTCGGGATGATGGGAGGCTCATCGCGGCGAGCAAGGCGGCTCCGAAGGCAGATCATGGAGGATGATGACGACGACGATGACGATGAGGATGATGAAGATGATTCAGACCATGAGCTTGAAGACTTGTTTAGGAGGCAGAGGAGGGGCTCATCTCTTGTAAGGCTGCTCCAGACCCTCCGGGATGACTTGAGGGGCTTGGATGACATTGGCAGGGATAGTGACAGAGACAGGGAAAGGGAGAGAAGGGAGAGGGAGAGGCTGAGGGAGCGGGAGAGGGAGAGGGAGAGGATGAGAGAGAGGGAGAGAGAACGGAGGAGAGAAAGGACAGAAAGCTTGATACTGATCAACTCCAACAATGAGGCCATTATTCTCCAAGGAACATTTGGACCTGATGACAACCAGGATGACTCGAGCAATACAAGTTCTGGTGTTTCACTTGGTGACTACTTTCTTGGTCCTGGATTAGATATCCTCTTGCAGCATTTGGCGGAAAGTGATCTTAATCGTTCTGGTACACCACCTGCCAAGAAGGAAGCTGTAGAAGCATTGCCAACTGTGAACATCCAGGAAGTGTTAGGCTGTTCTGTCTGTCTTGAGGATTTCGAAATGGGGACAGAAGCGAAGGAGATGCCTTGTCAACATAAGTTCCACTCCCAGTGCATACTTCCATGGCTGGAGCTACACAGTTCTTGCCCAATCTGTAGGTTTCAGTTGCCTACCGAGGAGTCGAAAAACCCATGTGAATCAGCCGGTGGAATTGTGTCAGTGAACGATGATGGAGATGATGCTGGTACAAGTAGTGACGTAGATAGTGCTAACCAACCTGGTAGTCCTATATTCTCTGCTTTGAGTGCACTTTTCTCAAATCCATCATCCTCATCCTCATCCTCATCTGATGATAATGCACCACACTCTTCTGAGAGCTGAAGGTAATTATATTACTTTGACCGTATTGATTGGAGCAATGGTGAGAACAGTATTTTTCTTTTTGGTTAATGCTTGATTTCACCCTCAGAGATTGCATTATCTGTATTGCAGCCAGCGCTGGGCCTGGGCTTGCAATATGTCAATGGAGTTCTGAAATGGGACTCCTGAGAGGCCGGCATCTTTATATCTCGTGGTTTCTGTACATATTTTAAAGTTTAATCCGCTAGACAAGCTATTCGCGTTTCCTTTATGAAACCTGTGTGGTTTGTAATCAGTTTGGTGCCTGTTATGTCTAATTATGTAAAATAAAATTTAGCCTCAAGCATGTTTACCTACTCTCAAAAACTTGATCGGGGCCAGAGAACTGCTGATCTGGTTAGCAGCTTGACCAATGCAAGGCTACTTCAGTACTATATATGGGGATATCCAACATTGGCATTTCGCACTGCTTTGTCAATTAAAGAACCCTGTTAGAACAAAGCTGCAGAACAGTTACAGTGCGAAGCAACTTTGTCATCTGCATACTTGTGGAATTTAGGAGTTGCTGATCTAAACTATGATTAGGGTGATCACATCTGCATTTATCCACATATCTGACATTGTGTACTTCAGTTTCCATCCCTCCCTCTCCCTCCCTTCTTTGTTTTGTTTTGCTTTTTTCCAGGGATTTCTTGAACAGTAGCTTATTTATGTTTTTCGATTGAGATTGGCAGGGAAGGACCTCGCTTATTCACTATGCTGGGTGATTCTGCATCAGCTTGAGGCCTGATGTCATATCTTTGATGCTTCTATTTTGTATGTGTGTCTAAATATTGGGACTTGGGAGTACTTGATTTGCAAGCTGCAACTGTGAGTTACAGGTTCAGGTAGGTTTTGCTGAAATATTTGGCTTGGCTAAGATTTGTCAAGCATGTGTGGTGGAATGGTCGGGCAAATGGTTGCTTGCACATAGTGGCAACTGATTGCCCCCTCGTAAGTGTTTTGAGCTGAAATGTAATAGTACTACGCTGATCTTCGTTCAGAGCATACACATTTCTTCATGTCCTTCATGAGATAGTTTTTGGTTTCAGATTTACGAACTCTTTGCGAAACTGATCCCAACCATAGATTTTAAATTTACAGGGCCAGCCAGGATTTCCTTTTTTATTAAAAGGTGGTAATTCGGCTGTGATCAGCTAGTTTTCATCTTTGCGTTATTTCCAAGCATTCCCCTATTGTTCTGAGTTCTGCATATGCTGGTTAGTCTTATTTTTGTGCTTGGTGGTAATGAGTAGCAGATTTCACCCAAATTACCTGAGATGCAATTCCCAAATCATCTCATTATCCACGCTCAGTTTCCTGAAGGTTTCAGTGAAAACATAGCTAAATCTGTTGTGTGGTCTCAAGCCTGAAGTCTGAACCAACCTAAAGAGTTAGTGCAAGATGCTCCTCAGACTGCAATTCTGCGTCCAAGTTAGGTCGTTTTCTAATGGAACGAGTCGTTCTATCATCCCCGGTTCTTGGGAAGACCTCAACGGTCAAGCAGGACCACGGATTGAGCCGTTGATCCGTCTTGACTTGTGGCATAATTTTTCTCTGTATGCCAAGTTAGCAGCTTTGCTCAGGAAACTTCGGAACCATTTCCACGTGAGGACTCTTGTCTGTACCAATCTTGTATTACATGAAGAAAAATTATGTAGTAGTACTCCACTACATGAATGAAGATGAAAAGTGAGGCGAGACGGGATTGCCTATCTCGGTTATACTCGTTCTGAATGAGCTGCTATCTTCAAATTCAGAACAGCTGCAATGTTTGGCGTCCAAGGGTCAGTAAATTGCCTGCAACTCCCTACAGGTTGAGAGCATATATACTAGCTTGACACGGACAACTACAGCTAACAACTCCCTTAGCAAATAATCTGACTACGTCATTACATGATCGGTTACAGAACAAGTATTACCCATATGCAGATCAGGGCTCGTTGTTTACCGTACGGATGGTGACTCATCAAAGGCAATAATGTCCTTGATTATGTAACACAGTTAACTTCAGAAATTTTCGGGGAGTTTCCTGCTAGTGGATAACGATAAGGACCCGCATACTTGCAAAGAGTACTATGGATTCGAAGCTGCAAAGGTTAATATGCACTTAGTGAGCCAATAATTAGGGGGGAACAAAATTAAAGAAGCGCCCTGCTTTGGGTGACAAACTGGCTAGTGTAGAGTATGCCAAGTATGTGTAATAATTTACGCATGGTGACTTGACTCTGTAGAACTTGACGCTGCTGCGTCAACATTATTTAGGTCAAGTTAAGCACTGACAGTTTCGGACACATTATGGACAGCTGAACACCGTTTCCTTTGTTTGTTCTTGAGATGCATAACATACAAATTGGTCTTTTAACCACAGAGAAATTTCTTTTTTCCTGTAATTAAACGACACGGCAATCCGTTATATGTGGCAAATTTGATCACTTGTATTTCGAGCGAATCTTCGTCTTTTGTTAGTAAATCTTAAAATCTGTGCGTATACGCGTATGATTTTCAAACAGCTTATCTGAAGTTCTGAACATCCCGGTCACTTGAAATCACCAAGAAACTTCTGCCAAAGCTGTAAACCTCTACAGGAAGCCATCTACAGTAGCTGCTAGCGGTCGGTTGACAGCATCACGAAGTCACACCCCACAAAACCCAAATTAAGCAAAGAATCTGCAAGAAACACACGGCGAAACTTTCTGAACCGCTTGTATGCTATTGTTTCCCGTGGATTGCCACGAACTTCCATAGCTCTTGCTGTCCATCACGGATAGCTTAGCTCATGCCTATATATGACGGACAAACTGAACAGGATGAATTAACTTCAATTCAAAGCTAGAACACAACACAAACACATCGCAAAAGTAAACAAAAAAAAATTACTACTCAAACATGTCGCAGTTTGTGGCGACGTTCGAGTACTGCAGCCTGGCCGTGTCGGTGTCGTCTCTCCTGATCAGGTTCGTCCTCCACCCGCTCGTCAGGGACGCCATCATCCTCGTCATGTCCAGAGCTGGCGCGAGCTCCCTCTCCTGCGCCCTCCTCGGCCTCCTCGCGCACGACGACAGCGCCCTCTTCGCCGCCGACGATCGCTGCGCCGGCGCCGTAGCCGTCGTCGAGCCACCGCCTCCGCTGAGGCGGGAATGCGAGCTGTGCGCTCGTAGGGGCGGCGCCGGGCTGTCGCGCCACGACGTCGCGGCGGTCGTGGCGAGCCTCGGCATGGTCGCCGCCGGCGAAGATGACGACGACGACGACGAGGCGTGCGGCGTGTGCGAGGCGGTGGCGGCGGTGGAGGAGATGGCGGAGGGGAAGGTGGCCGGGGAGGGCGAGCTGCGGGAGGCGTTCTACGTGTTCGATCGCGACGAGGACGGGTACGTGAGCGCGGCGGAGCTGTGGAACGTGATGCGGAGGCTGGGCATTGAGGAGGGCGCGCGGTACGGCGACTGCGTCAGGATGATCGCGGCGTACGACGGCGACGGCGATGGCCGGATCAGCTTCCAGGAGTTCAGAGCCATGATGGAGAACGCGGTTTAGACGTACTTGACGGTCCGGAGTTCATACCTCCTACTACTACATTGTATTTAGAGATTTAACGGATACTATTTCAGCGTTCCAGATGGTAAAATGTTTAATTACGACAAGTTTTGTTGAATTAAGCTCGGATATGAAAAAGAAAAAAAAATCAAACGTGGCTTAATTACAGTATGTCCTGTTGTTTTGCTTTTGTCAGTTCTTTTTCTTCAGCACCAGGCTTCGTCAGTAATTTCCGTCGAGGCCAAAATCGTCTTCAGCAGCCTGTTTTGTTAGCTTTGCCTTTTCTTCTTTCTTCTTTCTCTTTTTTTTTGGCCATGTTTCTTCCTTCTCTTGCTTTGCTCCCTATCGCGTTCCTTTTTTCTTCTTTCCATTCTCGTGACTATTTTCATATCAGATGAATTAATAGCAGTTCAATGTTTGTCGACGGATACCCGTAAACCGGATATAGAGGGTATTGGGGTACGCTGGTAAGATGATCTACATGGTACGACATCAAGCAAACAAAGGACAAGGATTATACTGGTTCAGGCCCCTTGGTAGGTAATAGCCCTAATCCAGTTGGTATGGGATTATATGATGGAAACCACATATTACAAAGGGAATAACAGAACTCGATGATATCGGCGAGACCGTAGTCGAGTTGGTTCGACTAGATCTCCCGGCGACTGGGCTCCTGTAGGCTCCGACTTCGTAGGATGTGGTGGATATGTTGGTGGTGGGATTCGATGCCTTAGATCCTACCCAGGGGGTCCCTTTTATACCGCGGGTCAGTTAATCTCCAAGTAGGACTCGGAGATATCGGACCCCTCACGATATGGTAAAGACCCAGTTTCGTACGAGTAAGACTCCTTCCGTCCGCAGATCCTGCATCAATTACGTGATAGATTTCCTTAACGTATACGAAAACTATTCGTATACGCGCGGGTATACCATACCGGTACCCATCGTACATCCAAGGATAGAGGGTATACCTTATCCGTAACCCTGACAATGTTAATTGCCAGCATTATACGGAGTAACCGGATAAAGTTCAGTCTTCAGTTTTAGCAGAACTATGCTGAATGGAGTATTCAATTCTAGCAGTATATTGTATGCTGACAACAAAGTGATTCGATTAGGTTGTTCCTATATCTTCAAGACTGGTGGCCATCTGCTAGGGTCTGCTTGTCTGAGCATTTTCGTGCCGGCTTCAGCTTATTGGTTCTCCTGGTCTCTTGACAGCTGTGGAAGGAACAAAACTCCAGAGTTTTCGACTCGGCCCTCTCCTCGGTCTCCATGCTTATAGAGTCTATCCAATCAGAAGGCTGTATGTGGTCTTCCGCTTGCATTACAGCTTTTGGGGGTTTATTGGGAGTGTAGCTTAGTTCCGCCTCCTACCTCTCATTTGTTTGGAGTAACTTTTGTTTCGCATTAGCCTCTTGGTTTTTTCTTTCTTCCCCCTCCCCTGGCATAGGCCTGTCTGGCTGATTGCGCTGTGTAACTAAAACTCTTTTTCTTTTAATATATTGACGTGCAATCTTTTTGCGCGTTCGTAAAAAGGTTCCTATATAGTACTCTATCAGTTCTTCTTTTAATGTTTTGACATGATTTGATCAAGCATTTAAATTTCCGACCATCAACCATTGCTCAAATATTTAGTTTTAAAAAATAAGAAAAAAATATATGTAGATTTGCCTAAAAATTACTATCGTAATATCATAAACTTAACTATTAGATTTTATAAATTTATTTTAACATAAAATTGATTTTTCGAAATTGGAAGTATGATCAAATCTTGTCGTGAATATCAAATGGTAATGAGTTAATGACCATAGGGTGTAATTTATTTTCGGATTTGCTACATCTCTGTCGACAGAGAATAGCGGGCTTTATCTTTCTAATTTTGGGCCGTTCATTTGTTTAAGATTCGTGCTATGAGATTTATATATTTTTTTGTCCTGGGCTTCTTTTATGGGCTTCTTTTTGTGGTGTACATGATTTAGACTTTTTGTTTCCTGATATTTTTGACCTTGTGTGGGTCCCACTTGCACCGTTCAAATTTCAGAAGAGGTGCCTGGTTTTTTGGTCCGTTTGTGGGGCCCGCTTTTGTCCTGATTTTTCTCGTTCTTTCCAACACACGCGTAGAGAGAGAGAGAGAGAGAGAGATAGGGGGTGCGGGAGGTAGAGTGGGAGAGAGATTTAGAGGCGATTTCGCCGCGGTGAGGAGTGCGGCTCGCCGTGGCGGAGATTTCGTCGTGCCGGTGCTGATCTGTGTCGTGTTTGAGTTTGTTTTTCGCCGGTGAGGAGCTCCTGCTCAACGGATTTTTCCACTGTGTCGAGTTATTCGTCGTTGAAGATTCATTTGGCCAGTTTTTTTTTGTTTTTTTTCATGTTCATCACTGCCTCCTCCTCTATTTTTTCGCCATGCCGGTGCCGATCTGTTCGTTGACATCGTTTTTGTCGGTGAGGAGGGTATGATGTACCACGTTTTCCACTGTGTCGAGCTGGTCATAGACGTAGGTTTTTTTTTTGGCGATTTGTTCATGTCGTTCTCCATTTTTTCCTTCCAATAGATCTAGCTTGGACATGCACCATTTATGTTTGATTTTTTTGATTTTTTGTGAATAGGTTGTGTTCTAGATTCATTTGTTTTTGTTTTTTTCATGTTCCTCCCCACGTCCTTCTTCATTTATTTCTTCGAATAGATCTAGCTAGGACTTGCACAAATTATGTAACCCCATCTCATTTGCTACTTCCCTAACCTATTTGTTTTTTTAGATCTGCTTTGTTTCATGTTTTCAATGCTATTTTTATTTTTTTTTCATGTTGTTTAATGTTCGATTTGCAGCTGTTTTCTGGTTTTTTTTTTGTCTTACTTTGTGTATTTGTTATATGAGGCGCAGATCTGCTTAATTCATCGAAGGTTTGCAAATTTTATTGATTCACATGCTTGTTTTCTGTATCACAGATGCATTTGTCATGCTGTCAACTGTCTATGTTTGTGGAATTGCTGAATGTAGATGCATTGTTCTGTTCTAGCTTAGGTTGCTGTGTTTGATATATTTGTTCCATTATACTTGAATTGAAATTTTGTATATTAGTTGTGTTGTAATGTATGATTTATGTTTAATTATGTATTTATCATTTCCTGTTATTAATTGATTGCATCTTATTTATCAAAATTTTGATTATGTACTGTGAAATTGATTTCTGTGATGTGTTTATACAGGCACATTTAGTTGTTGAATTGTATTTTAATTTCACTTTGATTTTTCTGTACTTCTGCCATGTATTTTGTACTGGACTTAAAATGAACTGAAATGCTTTTTGTGTATGATTTATTTCATTTTTTAGTTCTTGTATGTACTTGTGCCATGTATGTTGTACTGGACTCAAAATGAACTAAAGTGCCTTTTTTGTGCAATGTATGTTTGTAATTGTGCCATGTATATATGTTGTACTTTATTATATTTTTATCAGTTATGTGAGGAATCTTTTAGACAAAGAATTACTACTTCATTTATGCAATTGAACATATTTATTTTAGTTTTTACTTTATGTTTATCTTAAGGCTAGTATTTCTAATTCTATTTTATATTTTTTTTTGTATAGATGGGTAATGATAAGGACATTGAGGATATTTTGTCTGATTCTATTTCTTCTGAGTCTGATAGTTCTACAAATGATGAATGCTATTCTGATAGTGATGTAAGTATACTCCAGTTATGTTTTTGAAAAATTTATTTTTGTTTGTTTGTTTTATTTATTTTTTTCAATATTTCATCTTGTAGGAATCTAAAGATCCTTGTAATGTAATATCAAAGGATGAGTTAATGTTGTTTTAATATTCAACTTGATTCGGCTCAGATCTGGATTATTTGTAGCTTTTCCTTGAATCCAACTATACTTAGTAGGAACAATCTTATGGTTGATGTGAAATACTGCATGTGCATGTGTTTGTTTTTTCCCCTATATATGTGAAATGATGTTTTTCTATTTTCTTAGGAACATATCTATTGTATATACACCATTATTGATGCATTTAATATTTGCTAGTATTTCATTCTTATTGTTTACACACCATTATTTGTATTTTTTTCCTTTTTTTTTTGCTTTACTCAGTTATCAACCTGTGATAATTAGTTGGTTCTCTGTTTTTGTTCATATGTTTTCATTTGATATGATCCCCATGTAATGTTCCATTTGTCCAAATCTGAAGCATTTCTTTTGTTGTCTTCAATTGCTGCTGCTATTGCTGCAAAATGATTGTAGGGTGTGTGTAGAGATTTCAACCAATTTAAGGTTTAAGCTATGGGCTTCTATGTCCAATGGTCTTTTTCTCTTATTAAATGACTTATTTAGTACTCCATTAATATTGGCAAGCATGAACATCGTTGCTGCTCATGTTGAAGTACAACCTCATTTACATGTATAAAATGAACACCATGTGTTTATGCGTCTCCTAATTAAGACCAGTGAATTTTCTTCTGCTTTCTTTGTCTATCTACAACAAAAATATTTTTGCTTTTTGCTGTCTCCTGTGTGTGTATACTTATGTTTATAGCAACTTATGTCTCAAAGAATATTATTCCAACATTGAACATGTAGTTTATTTATGTTCACACAAATCATCTAGTTTATTTTTGTAGATAAACTGGAGTATATTTATGCTATTAATCTCACACGTCAAATTTGCAAATTTGCTCCAACAAACTGACATGGCACAGACTTTGAATTGAAGTTATTTATTTTTCTTGTTGAAATAATTGTTCCATAGGATTGGTTTCAAATTTTATTTTCTACTTGCATTATTCTGCTTGTTGTGTAGATTCCTAACTATGAAATGCATTGTCTAGGTATATAATTGCATATCTCTTTAGTTTTATAAATTTGATTCAAAATTGAAGTGTACTGGATTGGAGGATTACTTGAAGAATAATCTTCCAGTTGGCTGAGGACACATTTTATAATAGAAATCATGATCTAAAATAAACATATGGAATCAGTTACATGAGCTTTATATTGAAGTTACAGAGTTTTTTCCAATGTAATTCCTATACAATTTCACTGTAATTTGATTAGATAAGTTAAAGGTCAGATTTAATTTCATAATAAGATTTAAAGTTTTATCCCAATTGATGATATTACTCATAAGCAAATCATAGTTTTGCAGTTCATCTGTTCAGAAGCATGCAGAGTTAGAGTTGAAGAATTTGGTACCTATCATGTGTAGTGATATGTCTGAATTATGATTTCTGATTTGAGGTGTGGTCTGAATTTTTTGATATTTAGTTGGTCTGCAGTAATATGTCTGAAATCTGAATTACTGATTGAGATTTATGCACAAAGCAAACTGTTTGTTTTGTATGATAGAGATTTTTTGAACTTTTTAGTTCTGCATGAGTTCTGATATGACCAGAAAATATGCAATGCAAAATTCATGTCATTATGTTGTTCAACCTAAGAATTCAATTTGTGTAATTCTGTAAAGTCTTTAGTCTACAAGATGTCAGTTACATATTTTTAGTTTTGAAATTACAGTGTTTATTTTATGTGTTTCTTGTACAAAATGACTGTAATTTAAGAATAAAATTTATAATTCTAGTGAATATTCTCCATTTGTGAAGCATTGTACTTGATTTGAAATGTTTATAGCAACTTTCAGCAATTTTGAGTTCAGTTTTATTTGAATTTTGAGTTCAGCAACTTTGTTATCTCCAAATACTTTGATGTGAAATCTTTTTTGTATTTTGCAGCTATATGTCTGAATACTCTGATGTCTGTTTCTTAAGAAAATTCAGAGCAAGTAATTGTCTGAGAATTGATGTATTGTAATTTGATTTGATTATCTGAATACTCTGAAATCTGTTTATTTGCAGCTATATGCCTGTTTCTTAAGAAAATTCAAAACAAGTTAGTGTCTGACATGACAATCTACCTTATGTGAGTACTGAAATTTGTACTATGCAATGAAATTCAAATTCATATTTCTCAGATGTTTCTATAAAGTTTCTCAAATATTCAGTCTGTCAAATCTGTTAAACTATGCAAATTCATACTACTTGACCTATTTGAGGTGTGGTCTGAATTCTGAATTTTTTGATATATACTACTACTCATAAGCAACTCTTTCCCCTTGTGCATTGTTCGTGATCTGCTTTTGCTCCTGAATTTGATCTTTGACTTTTCTTGTACCTGCAACTTTACCTGCAAAGTATATGAAATCTGATATGTTTCATATGAAATCTGATTTCCATGAACTTCGTGCAGTTGGTCCATAAGTAATATAAATTCTCTGACACATAGATATACTTTGTGTAGTTTCTAGATACATGCCTAAATCTGATATACTTTGATTTTTTTGACATATTTGCTATTGACTTTGGATGTAATATAAATTCTCTAAAATCCAAATTTTGATATAAGTTCTGTTCTGAATACAGTACATATGCAGTATATATTTGCATGAGTTCTAATTTGACCAGAAAACATGCAATGTAAAATTCATATGTCATTATGTTGTTCAACCTAAGAATACACATAACCTTTTTTTGTAAAGTCTTAAGTCTACAAGATATCGGTTACATATTTTAAGTATTGTAATTACATTTTTTATTTTATGTAATTCTTATACAACATGACTGTAATTTAAGAATTAAATTTAGAATGCTGGTGAATATTCTCAATTTTTGAAGCATTGCGTTTGATTTGAAATGTTTATGGCAACTTTCTGCAATTTTGAGTTCAGTTTTACATTTTAAGGTTCGGTTATGTGAATATTTTGCAGTCATTTTTTTTTGTTTTGAATCTCTGTTTATGTATGAGTTCTGCATAGTTTACAGATTATGTGTTTATATTTTCCCTAATAGAGATTTAATGAATTTTTTTAGTTCTGCATGAGTTTTGATATATGATTTTGCATATAATTTTATTGTTCTCGACTAATATTTCTCAAATCTGTTGAAATATGGAATGCAAATTTCATATATCATCATGTTGTTCAACCTAAGAATACACATAACAATTGAATTCTAAGATAATATGATCTGTGATGTTTCTATAAAATCTGTGAAGATTTCTGTATAAAATGTAGACCCATAACTCAGAAGATATTTTTTTTGGAGTGATGAAGCTTTGTGAATTATTTTGATGGAGATTCATATGAAAATTCGAAGCTAAACACTCAAATATTTCAATCTGTGAATACTCTGAATTCAATCTACTTAATATATCACCAATTGAACATTTCTGATTTCTGATTTGAGGTGTCCTGAATTCTGAATTTTCTAAAATTTTAGTTGCTGTGCAATAATGTGTTTGAATCCTCTATTTCTGATTGAGTTGTGGTTTGTTTCTTAATTTCTTCAGTAATGTGTCTGCAACTCTACATTCTGGATTACTGATTTGAGTTGTGGTGTGCTGCATTGGAAGGGTCCTCAGAGTGACTTTAACTTGTTGTTTAATTTTTACAGATCAATCTCATTTGACAGAAATGTAGATCAATATTCAGAAGATTTGAGTTAAGTTTTGTGATTTATTCTGATGAAGATTCATATCAAGAAGGTTCAAAGAAGATTCAGAACAAGAATCAGAAGACTAAACCAAAGGTATTAGTACCTGTGTTCTTTCGGAGCTCTTGATCTTCGATTCCAGATTTTTCTTCCTTTAAATCCTTTCTGAGCTGTTGTTCTTTGATTCAACAGAAGAATGAATTTTAATTTGGATGCAATTTGAAGATCAAGAAACAAATGAACAAGTCACTGGATTCAGAAGAAGAAGATTTGTTAAATAGATTTGATGCATCAACCAGATTCAGAAGATTCTTTTTCTTCTTGAATAGTGTTTTGGGTTATCTATCTTTGTTAGTGTTTTGGGTTTTGTATATATTGTTAGTTAAGTTGCTGGGCTAAATTTGAGTCAGTTCTTTTGTTTTGGGCCTTTAAATTGACTACAGTGTTAATTTGGGCTTTCATTTGATGTAAATTTTGTATTTGGGCTCAATCTGGACTATTTGATTGGGTCGAGTTGTATTTGAGCCCTTCGAAAATGGGCTTCCAAACCTATTTGTTATTGTTTATCTATGTATTTTTAATTTTTATTTGTCAAATAATAGTAGCTGTTGGATCTAGATCTGTTGGTTAAAAAATTTGGTTAAAAAATTTGACAGATTGGAGGTCCAAAAATCTGTCGACAGAGCACTAGACAGTCCCATTTATTTTTCTTTCGCCAACAAAAATCGAGGTGAAACACGACAAATCAAGATACACATGCAAAGGCTAAACTCGACTCGGTTTAACAATCATAAATAGGGGTGGCGCCAAAAGAAATATTTTAGCCTACGTGAACTTAGAAATTCCATCTTCAGTCTATTCTACAATGATAATTTTATAATGGAGTGTTTGACAACGAGTCTGAACAACCGTCCATGGTAACCGGGCGGTGGCTTTGACCCCTGATTATAAAATCATAGCTCAAATATTTACTCCCTCCGTATAAAATATAGGGGATCATGGGTTTAGTTTAAGTCAACTATTTTAACCTTAACCAAGTTTTATAGAGAGTATATATAAGCATATACCACGTCGGAAGTAAACATAAAAGTATAATCGTGATAGATCTAATAATACTTCTCCGATATTGGAACTGTTATTCTACAAATTTGGTAAAACTTAGGATAATTTGACTTAGGACAAATGTAGGATCCTTAGAGGCAAGCTAGGAGGCATGAAACTAAACAAAACAAAATCATCGAAACAAGTTAAGGTGTGTTTAGTTCCTGAAAAAAGTTGAAAGTTTGAAGAAAGTTGGGAGTTTGAAGAAAAAGTTAAAAGTTTATGTGTGTAAAAAAGTTTTTGATGTGATATAATGTGATGGAAAGTTGGGAATATAGGAGAAACTAAACACGGCCTTAGAGTGATACATATCCAGGTCCTTATCCTTAACTAATCTACTACAATGCTACTAACTTATAGGGAGCAAGAGGAAGGCAGCGGCGTGACCTCGATCCTCGAGTACACGAGTGAGCGTAAACGAGTACATGACATGGGTTGTGTCCTCGATCTCGTATAGACTGGGCCAGAATGGCCCACGGCCCACGAAAATCTTCATGGCGTTGTGGGATGAATTTTTTTCGTTTTTAGTTTTTTTTAAATATTTACATAAATAATCTATCGGCAAAAATATTGCAAAAATAGACACTGCCGCCCCAGTGGTGGGCGGCAAGCTGACGTGGCAGACGGCGGATCGACCGCGCCGTCTGCCGCCGTCGGCCAAAATTGCAATTAGCCCGGCAAGGGGCTAATTGCAATTTTGCTGCCCATAAAGATCTTTTGGCCGTACTTTTTACATCTGGGTCCCTTGCCGCCTCACTATAACATTGATTGTTATGTCACTTATCTGTAGAGCAACTCTCAAGCCCCTCATTAACCATCCTTTTATAGAAGGTACACTCCTCTCAGCCGGTCTATCAATTCCCCTTTCTGATACAATAAAATCTGTCAGATCTATCCCAGTTGGCCCGTAACGGACGTTTCCTGGTCCATGGTAAACTTGGAATATTTGTTTGTTCGACATATCTATCAACGAAATAACTAGATCATATTACTCTTTCATGCTGAAGCAATCTACAACGTAATATCTTCTTGTGTACGCCAATGCAACGGTAATGTATTGATTCCAAACTAGCAGATCTACGTAGTTACCGATATCTACAATACGCACTTCTAGATTAGTACAACTAAAACCCTAAAAATATAATGCATTTATTCAAACAAAGTTTTAAAAAATACACACTATTTAACTCAATAGTCACATATAGGATCTATGAATATTACCTGAGATCAGCGTCTGAATCCGGCAGGGCTTCGCCCCTTCTTCTCTTCTCCTCCCCTTTCTTCTTTTTTTTTCACTGGATTTGAGGGGGAGGAATGAGGGCTGGTGGCTGGACGGCATGCCTTTTATAGGCAGCGAGGCCTGCCGCCCGGCCAGAGGGCGGCAAGGGGCCGCCTGCAAAATGGCCAGCCCCGACTGGCTTTTTTTTGCATTCGGGCCCCTTGCCGCCCGGCTTTCCTGCAAAAAACCCTCCCTCCGTCACCGCCCGTCCCTCCCCCGTTTGCCACGTCAGCTTGCCGCCCCCTGAGGTGGGCGGCAGGGTCTACTTTTGTAATTTTTTTGGCCGATAGATTATTTCTGTAAATATATTTTTTAAAAAATCTAAAAACGAAAACAATTCTTGTGGGATTTGGACCGTGACACTTAGAATGAGAAAGCCACCTGTCACTTTAATCAACTGTTAAATTGCACAGAAAAAAATTCACTGAAATCAGCTAAGGTCATTTCTAGCCCAATGATTAGGATAGTGTGTACTCCCTCCGTCCTATAATATAAGGCATTTTGACTTTTTGCTTGCACTGTTTAACCACTTGTCTTATTCAAAAAATTTTAGAATTATTATTTAATATTTTGTGACTTACTTTATTATCTAAAGTACTTTAAGCACAATTTTTCGTTTTTTATATTTGCTGAATAAGATGAGTGGTTAAACAGTACAAGCAAAAACTCAAAATCCCTTATATTATAGGACGGGGGGAGTATAACATTAAATAAGCTGCCTTCTAGAATAAGGCCATTCCCAACCCAAGACACTAGACATAGTTTCTATAAACTCTACATTATCAAGAAACTAATAATAGACACTACTCTTCCAATGCAAACACCACTATTTCATACTTAAATTTAATGCTACTTATCTCACATAATGTCTTGATGTTGTGTAGAAACCATGTCTTCTCTTTCCTCATTTATTCACTCACCACATCATTTTTCATTCTAGGTGGCAGCTTATTTAATGCTATAGACACCATCCTAATCATTGGGTTAGGAATTGCTAAAAAATGATGTGGCAAGTGAATAAATGGGAAAAGAGAAAGCATGAGACATGGTTTCTACACAACATCCAAGACATCATGTGAAATAAGTAGCATTAAATTTAAGTATGGAATAGTGATTTTTGTATTGGAAGAATAGTATCTAGTATTAGTTTTTTGATGATGTGTAGTTCATAGAATCTATATGTAGTGTCTTATATTAGGAATGGCCTAAACGATCTCATCTCCGATATTGGTACTACTAGGAACAGAACTGTCGCCGTGTTATTTGTGCCGAGCGGAATCAAATCAATCATCGATCGCCTGTTCAGTTTCCGAAAGATTTCAGCGAAAATATTGCCCCAGTACTCCATAATAATATTATGTCACTTTCATGTCGAACGGAATGCTTCCCGAGTCCCGACCCTGGTCATGGGGGAGAAGACTTCAAGTCAAAGCTTGACCATCTAGTACGTACTACTGTCTCCGTCCGTTCCATAATAATTGTCGCTTTGATTTTTTTTCTTTTGATATTTAACCATTCGTCTTATTTAAAAAATTAGTGTAAATATAAAAAATGATAAGTCATACTTAAATACTATTGATAATAAAACAAGTAAAAAAATAATAATTTCATAATATTTTGAATAAGACGAATGATCAAACTTTATAAAAAAAACTCAAAGCAACAACTATTCTAAGACGGAGGACGGAGGTAGTCCTACGGAATTGACTCGTACGTTGACGTACGCGTTTTTGATCCTTCTACTCCACTATCCCAGGTGGGTTTTGCTGTCGAAATTTCCACATGCAGGACCATCCTACAGACCTCCGTGAGGATTAATTAGTGTCTCTAATCAACTAAGATTATTGCCGGGTAGATGACTCTGTATATATTGCAGTCTAGTACTGTATGAGCTGCCTCTACCTTCTAACTCTCTTATGTCTGAACTCTGAACTAACAAATAGCCGCAATTTTTGACGCCCAAGAGTGAATTTGCTTGCAACTCCGTAGACAGTGAAAGAGTAGAAATGTAGTATATGACCTGATTGAATATAAGATAGACGGTTTTGAGAAAAGGCCGTGCACTTCATGGTGCAGATGGATGCGTGCCATCGCCGCAAACCAGATGTTTACACTAGATGAACTCTCCATCTTTTTTTTTTTTTTGAAAAAGTGAATGGGGCTTCGAGTTGATGAGCTTACAACTTCAATTGCAACAATAGCAATTAGATATAGCTAGGTAGTAATCAATTCCAAAGATCAACGTACTGAGTACTATTACTGTAGTATATGTTTGCAGATTAGGGATGCATCGGTTAGTAGTTAATGTGCTGGAGTTTGCCAGTAGACGGCGACTCACATATGCATGCAAGTAAAGTACATTAAACATGAATTGCGAAAGGGACCGTGACACTTTTTGAGTCGATCGAAGCTGCTAATCGCAAAATTAACTACCGGACCTGTATATACGCGAGATACTACTATTAACAGGGAGAGTAACGGTACGTACAATAATCAAAGCGTTAGTTATCTTACGAGAAATCATCAAGAAACTTCTTCCCCCTAGAATTAGTAACGTAGTAGTATTACATAGTAGGAGTGTAGCATTAGGGCATTCCCAACCCAATGATTAGGATAGTGTCCATAGCATTAAATAAATTGCCACCTAAGACAAAAAATGATGTGGCAAGTGAATAAATGAGGAAAGAGAAGAAAACCATGTCTTGCATGAGACATGGTTTCTACACAACATCCAAGACAACATGTGAGATAAATAACATTAAATTGAAGTATAGAATATTGGTGTTTGCATTGGAAGAGTAGTGCCTAGTACTAGTTTGATGATGTGGAGTTTATGGAAACCATGTCTAGTGTTATGGGTTGGGATTGCCCTTAGGAAATCATAATTGTAGGATCGAATCACAATAACTAAACCAACCAGAGGGGAGGTGAATGGTTGGTATACTCGAAAACCGAAAACTTTTAGCGGAAATAAAAGTTAACCTCGAATTCGACGGATCGCGGTCTGACCGAGGTTGTCCTGCCGGTCTGACCGCCTGGTTGCCGTCGGTCTGACCGAGATTAGATCTCCAGTCTGACCGCCGAGATCAGCTCCTTAGACCGCGGGCTGGCCGGTCTGACCGCGCACATACCGCCGGTCTGACCGGCTACCCTAGCCCGGTCTGACCGGTCAAAAAAAATAACAACAGTATCCTGTAGATTCACTTGTGAAATCCAATCATCTCCAAAACCACTTCGTGAATAAAATCCAAATAACAAAACCAATAATCTCCGATGCCAATTGTTCATCACAAAATAATAATAAAAAACTTTTGATTTTACAATAATTAACCACTTAATTAACCGGCCCAGGACTGTTGGTGGACGGCATCACGAAGTCATCCACGAAAACCGACGCGGATGACGCTTTCTGACTGAACGTGTGTGTTCCCATGGATTGCCGCGAACTTGCATTATTTTTGCCTCCATGGCTCCATATATCCATCAGACATACTGCTTATGTCTATATATACAACGAGCAAAAGATTCATGCTGTACACCAGAGCACCACAAGTTAGCTGTAGCAGATTAAATTTAAGTTCTTGATCAATCAGTGGATCGACCTAAAATTGTTAACATGTGGCAGCAGCTGGTGGCGTCGATCGATCGCGGTCTCGTCTTGTCGGTGTCGTCTCTCCTGATCATTAGCAGAGGCGTGCGCGCCGTGTCTCGCGCGCTCGTTCGCCTCGCGCTCCTCCTCGTGCACGTCGTCGACGAGGATGACGACTATCGCTACTGCGCGGCCGATGCTGGCGACGACGGCGTCGTCCAGCCTCCGCGGCTGCGTTGTTGCGAGCGGTGCGCTGCGGCGCCGTGGCTGTCGCGCCACGACGTCGCGGCGGTCGTGGCGAGCCTCGGCCTGGTCGCCGCCGACGAGGATGATGAGGAAGGCGATCATCAGGCGCCGTGCGGCGCGTGCGAGGCGGTGGCGGCGGTGGAGAAGCTGGCGGAGAGCAAGGTGGCCGGGGAAGGCGAGCTGCGGGAGGCGTTCCGCGTGTTCGACCGCGACGGGGACGGGTACGTGAGCGCGGCGGAGCTGCGGAGCGTGCTGCGGAGGCTGGGCATGGAGGAGGGCGCGCGGCACGGCGACTGCGTCAGGATGATCGCGGCGCACGACGGCGACGGCGACGGCCGGATCAGCTTCCAAGAGTTCAGGGCCATGATGGAGAACGCGGCTTAGAAGACACACCAACCAACCAGCTAGACAACCGGAGTTCACACGTACGGCGTATTGGATTAGTGTATAATTAAGTCAGTACCGCTTGATTCATCTTGTCGAAAAATGTTGGCAGGTGACTTTGATAGTCAGTACTCCATACCATTTTGTTGAGTTCCATATATCTCTCATCCGTCAGCAAGGTTTGTTTAACGCTCTAGTTAACTACCCAACTAATCTTTACAATAGTTAATAGGTTTATGGTTTATGGAACTTCCCTTATGTTTGTCTTCAGTGTGAAGCTCTGTGAGTAAAGGTCGGAATTTTATTCCATTATCTTAGAAAAAAAATGGTTATGTAGTCAGTAGTCTAATACATTGTAACGATATACCTGGACTGTTGGTCATCCGAATTAACGGTTGAAAATACATGCAGCTCATACGTAATACAAAACGTTATATCTAAAAAAATACTAGTACTCATACATAATTAACATTGGCTTATACTACTGAAATAATCCTAAATTAAGCCACAGTTATATTCTCCTAAAGCCCCAGGGCCGTGCATTAGGTGAATCAATTTTGTCTAGAACTAATAAGATTGAGTTGAATCCAAACAGAATCATGCCTCCTACAAACGAAAGTGTATCAAAATTATCAGGAAATCGAAATCTGTCAAATTTCCGATATTCGTAAGTTCTCAAGACGATGGAGGTGAGATACCCAAGCTCCAAAACCACTCTATATATATCATTTGCATCCGGGTCTCCAAGTCGAGGCATCCTCCATAACGACGCCGTTGAATTTTTGTCCAACATTTAACTATTCATCTTATCTATTATATACTAAAAGTCCATTAAACTTTCTATAAATGCTCTCAAGCTGCCACATAGGACTCCTACAAATACTCTTAGGCCGCCACGTGGCTCCATCAAATCTAACCGTCGATTTTCACTTAAATTGGTGGACCCGATATTTTAGACCATTAGATTAAACTTTCTGGTGGACCCGATATTTTAGGCCATTAGATTACATATATTTTATTTTAAAGAAACTAATTCCTTAGGCAGTTACGTGTTTATGTATACAGGAGAAATTTGTACGTACGTACAACTGAACTAATGAAGAGAAAAAAAAACTACATACAGAATTACCATAAAATCAACAAGAAAAAAAATACGTACTTACTACCTTGCAAAAATTTGATAATATTTAAAATAGGATTTTCTATTATTTAAAGATAAAACATATTACTCCAAAAATTTACATAAATATCACCGTCGATTTTTATTTAAGTTGGTGGACCCGGTCGATGTTTTAGAACATTAGATTAGATGCCTAAAAGTCAATTAAACTTCTCAAAAATGCTCCTAATTCGCCATATGACATTCTACAAACGTTCCTAAGTTGTTATGTGATACTCTAATAAATTAGTGAAATTCTTAAAAAATATGAAATAACAAAAACATATTTCATTTAATTTGGTGGACAGATTATTTATAGCCATTAGATTAATTTTCAAGAAATGAAATTACTCTCCTAAACCTAGGACCACCTAAGCCTAAGCCTGTATGTACAAAAACGAACGGACGTATGTACGCCTCCTCTTTCTTCAATTCATTTCTCTACCTTTTCACCTATTCCTTCTCATATTTTCATGCCTTATTAGTTAGATAAGCAATAATTTTGTGTTAAACAAGTAAGCTTCTGAATCATACAACTAATTTCTAATCCGCGTAAATCTTTAAATTATTTATAACTAAATCTACAGTTGAAGACCATATTTCACTATAATTTAGCTTTGAAAACATAATGTCATTTTGGTTTATATTTCATGACTTTTGCGTGCCATTCAAGCAATTATAAAAAATATAAAATACTAATAATAATATAGATTATATCATCATACATATCTTTATAATAATTAAATTAGGTCTATAATCATAAAAGTAAAAGTAAAATGAATATACTATGAGTAATGTTTCCAAAATATGTTAGTTAGAAAGCAAAATTATGGAAGAAAAAAAAGCAACTATAGCATCTAAATCACACAACTAATATTTGATGAACTTATGTCTTTAGATTATTTTACATTTAAAGACCCATATCCACTGTAATATCGACTTCGAGAAGAAATATGTCACTTTGAGGCTATATTTTCTAATTTTTGTGTGCCATTCGAACAATTATGAAATTATAGAAAGATAATGATATAGATTTTATCAATATATATGACAACGGAATAATTAAATTAGATCTATATGGATAAAAGTAAAATGAACCTAACCATGAGTAATGTTTTAAAAAACTACTCCTTCATTATAACATTATAATAAGTCAAAATAACATTATTAGATTGTAGTTTTCGTATTTTTCATATCTTCTGCGAATATACTGGAAAAGACAAGTAAAAAGGATAGATTTTAATCAATCAATAAATCATTTTTCAATTTTTAGTTAAAAAAGTAATAGCAACTAAAACATTACAATCCGGTAAAAAGAATTATTGCAATTATATGCACGCATAATCTCTACCCTTCAACGCTCTCTTCCTCTACTCACTCATGTAATTCCTTTATCTCCTAATTTTTAACTAAGTAAAGAAAGATCAATAATTAGAAAGCTAAATGATTATAATTCTTAAATTAAATCATAATTTTAACTTATTTGAATTTTTGTTTTATTTACAATTAAATAAAATATTTAAGATCCATATTAACCATATTTCACTCTATAAAAAATGAAAATATGTCATTTAAGCATAGACACCGTTCCTTTGCATGGTTACCAAATAGAAAAAAAACGGACCATAATACAAAATGAAAATAAGTATTATATTACCGTAAATCACTGGACATCCTCTTAGCACAATCAAGGCGTCATGTGTTACGCCTTAAATAAAAATATAACTTTACAAATTGGAAGAAAAATCATCTTAGCATCAATTTCCACTTAAATAGGTAGATCTATTATTTTCAACCAATAGATATTCTTTTCAGAAAATCTTAAGCAACCATGTGTTACGTCTTAAAAATTAGAAAAAAATAACATAAAATGTGACAAAAAATATATCATCGGTTTCACTTAAATCATTTAGATAAAATAGAAAAAAAATACCCCTCCACTTCGCCATCCCCCACACATACGCACAACACGGCACTATTCGCCCCATCCCTTCTCGTCTTGAGCTCTCCACTCTACCCCTTCCTGTTTATATAGCCGGAAATAATCAAAAATTTTAAAACTTGCATAAATTTCAAGCTACACATCCGATTTCTAATTTAGATATTGTTGTATTTATAATTAAAACATTGATTTAAAGATCCATAAAGCCTATATTTTGAGCTGGTATAAAATATAAAATAAAGCAAGTAATAGAAAATGTCAATAGAGACTAAACTAAACTATTTAGAGAAAACATAATAAGTTAGTAAAAAATTGGTTCTCACATTTCACTAAAATTGGACCAACCATTGCATGTTCCTTTTTCGTAACAATTTTAAAATGCTTAGACATTAATGTCCTTACATCTATCCTATATCATAGCATTATGAGTTTCTCCACATATTATTACACATACAAACCGCACTGAGGTTCGCACTATATAGTTCATTGAAAAGTTATATTTGTTACTATTAAATTTAAAATTTTGGATTCATGTTAACTAGGTATTTTCTTTTGAAAAATATAATACATATCACACAAATCACAATGAAGCGAGGTATATGACATGTCTTTATTAATTTATATATAAGTATGCAAAAACTTGCATCAACTTAAACCAACTAGAAGGAGAACTACTTGATGCTACAAATAAACCATATTTATTAACAATATAGTTATTTAGAATTTGTTAAAAAAAGCGAGTAAACATTCTATTAAAAAGGGACAAAACACCTTACTTCTAATTTACACTTGATTTATTAGACATATTTTCCAAACAAACTAAATCGAACTTCATTCTATATAATAAAGCGATCATAGATAATTATTTATACATATGTATTAAATATTATATATTTTAAAACCTAACAAATATCTTGAAAAAATTATCAAAGCAAAATACCGATGAACAACGGAGGCCTCACCTGATGTGTCTTATTAAAAAATAGTACTTTTAAACATGGGAGGTGTCAGCCTATTGATATTCTGTTTATATATATTCAAACGCAATGTACAATATATGCCCGCGCGAATGCGCGGGCTACCTTCCTAGTTCAAAAATTTTATGTAATTATCATTTATTTTATCATAACTTGATTTGTCCTCAAATGTTCTTTAAGCATGATATAAATATTTTCATATTTGCACAAAAATTTTAAATAAAACGAATGGTCAAACGTCGATCGAAAAGTCAACGACGTCATACATTAAAATACGGAGGGAGTATATAGTATTAGAATGTATCTTGTCTGATAACTAGATTGTAGGATGGTGAAGTTACGTACGCTTGACTCGAAGGCAAATAATATTCCAAAAATCGAAACGAGAAACAATAGAAGGAACATATAACCAACCTGTTATGAAAGAGTGAAGCTTGCGATGCGGCGGCTGAGGCTACGGAGAGACGCCGGTGCAGGGAAGGCTGCAGCATATATATATGGGCGGCGGGCGGCGGTGCGGGGCTCGAGACGGGCGACGCGACGGGTGGCGTGGGGCTCGATGCGGCGATGGTGACGGCGCGCGGCGATGGGACGGCGACGCGGCGGGTGGCGAGCGAGCAGCGTGACAGGCGGGGCGACGCGACGCGCGCGGCGGCACGGGGCTCGGCGCAATGGAATGGGCGGCACGGCAGCTGCGCAGGGTGACGGCGAGGGGACGGCCGCGCGGTGGGGCGCAGGCGCGAGAGGACGGGCGCGCGGCGGCACAAGGCGCGAGGCCGACGGCGACGCGACGGTGACGGCGCGGCAGCGGCGGCGGCGCGCGCGACGGGCGGGCAACGCGGCGCACGCGGCAGGGAAGGGGGCGGGGCCAGGGGGACCACGATCGAACACCTATGCCGCAATGAACAGTAACTTTTCCTATTTATCCCAATTTTAGCCCATTTTCTATTTAAATATAGCACTATAAATTCTAACTTTTGCATAGATGAAGTTTACTCCATATTTGTTTTATACTAACTAAAAATTCACCCTAATTTAATATCACTCATATTTTGTTTATATAATTTATTTGAATTTTTA